CACTCCATACCTCCAACCACCACCATCACACCACCACATATCAACACTCACACACCTCATGCACCCGATTGTCACCTCCCACGCAAGTGGGAAGTGTGCTCTCGACTCGGTCCCCATGCGGCTTCGGCTGCACGGGTGACTTGAGTCCGAGACTATCCCGACACGTCAAGTGTCGTGGATAGGAAGGTTGCTGAGTGACGCCCGCTGTCGTTGTGTGTGTGTGTGTTGTGCCCTGGACTGCGCCTGGACTGTTGCGCCTGGACTGCTCGCAAAGCTGAGGAGATCCAAGGCTACGCGGACCGCAACGAATGGAAGAACTTCTTCTCCGCTATCAAAGCTGTCTACGGTCCGCCGACGATGGGCACTGCTCCTCTCCTCAGCGCCGACGGCAGTAATCTCCTGACTGAGAAGACGCAAATCCTACAGCGATGGGCCGAGCATTTCCAGGGCGTCCTCAACCGCCCTTCCGTCATCTCCGACGCCGCCATCGCCCGCTTGCCGCAAGTGGAGACCAACGTGGACCTCGACCTCCCGCCATCTCTCCAGGAGACCATCAGGGCCGTGCAGCAACTCTCCAACGGGAAAGCACCCGGATCGGACGCAAACCCTGCTGAGGTCTACAAGCACGGAGGTCCCATACTGATGGATCACCTGACTGCGCTCTTCCAGGAGATGTGGCGTCAAGGTGAAGTCCCGCAAGATTTCAAGGACGCAAATATCGTGCACCTTTACAAGCGCAAAGGGAATCGCCAAGTCTGCGACAATCACCGCGGCATCTCCCTACTGAACATCGCCGGGAAGATCTTCGCTCGCATCCTGCTCAACCGCCTCAATAACCATCTGGAACAGGGCCTTCTGCCGGAAAGCCAATGCGGCTTCCGTCGTCATCGTGGGACCACGGATATGATCTTCGCCGCCCGCCAACGTCAAGAGAAGTGCCAGGAGATGCGGACCCACCTGTACTCTACCTTCGTGGACCTGACAAAAGCCTTCGACACGGTGAATCGTGAAGGACTGTGGAAGATCATGCAGAAATTCGGCTGTCCGGAGCGATTCACATACATGGTGCGTCAGCTGCACGACGGTATGATAGCGCGAGTCACGGACAACGGAGCTGTCTCAGAGGCATTCGCAGTGACCAACGGAGTGAAGCAGGGATGCGTGCTGGCACCAACCCTCTTCAGTCTTATGTTCTCTGCCATGCTGATGAATGCCTACCGCGACGAACGCCCTGGAATCCGCATCGCCTACAGAACGGAGGGTCATCTTCTGAATCACCGGCGCATGAACTTCCAATCGCGCGTATCCACAACTACCGTGCACGAACTCCTCTTCGCCGACGACTGCGCCCTGAACACCACCTCCGAAGCGGAGATGCAACGGAGCATGGACCTATTCTCCGCCGCCTGCGAGAACTTTGGGCTGGTCATTAACACGCAGAAGACGGTGGTGATGCACCAACCGCCGCCCAACTCAGCCACAGCCCCCAACGCGCCGCCGCAAATCAACGTGAATGGAAATCAACTGCAAGTGGTGGAGAACTTCCCGTATCTGGGCAGTACCCTCTCCCACAACACCAAGATCGACGACGAAGTCGCCAACAGGATCTCGAAAGCCAGTCAAGCCTTCCGTCGTCTCCGAATCACAGTTTGGAATCGCCACGGTCTCCAACTGAGCACGAAGCTGAAGATGTACAAGGCCGTCATCCTGCCGACGTTACTATACGGAGCAGAGACATGGACGGTGTACACGAGGCAGGCACGCCGACTGAACCACTTCCACGTCAGTTGTCTCCGTCGCATCCTGAGGCTGAACTGGCAGGACCGCATCCCCCACACGGAAGTACTGGAACGAATGGGAATCCTCAGCATCTACGCCATACTGAAACAAATGCAGCTGCGCTGGAGCGGCCACCTGGTGCGCATGGACGACGAGCGACTACCCAAACGACTCTTCTACGGAGACGTCGCGACGGGTTCTCGTCGTCAAGGAGGCCAAATTCGCCGTTACAAGGATACTCTGAAGTCCTCCCTGAAGCGCCTGCAAATACACCCGACCAACTGGGAAGAGCTCGCTCGCGATCGTCCGACATGGAGGAGAACAGTGAAGACGGGCGCTGCTATCTATGAAGCCAACCGCATCGCCGCCGCCAAAGCGAAACGCGAAGCCCGCAAATCACAACTTCGCCCAGTCCGCAACGCCGCCGCACAACCGCTCCCAAAGTGTCCTCGATGTCAACGGACATTCCGGGCACGAATCGGACTTGTTGGACATCTCCGAACCAACTGCACCTCTCGAACTGCTCCAGCCATCGTCCCCCCGCCCGCCTCTTCCTCCTCTCTTCCGCCAACTAACTCTGACACTCCTTCTGCACCACCAATTCCATCCTCCCCGTCCTCCTCCCTCTACACTGCCCCAGAGGCGGCCGTTCAGACTGCTGTCTCACACATCACCAACACCAACACACCAACCAACATCACCTCTCCCACCTCTCCCGATTCCAGTGATGAGGATCAGGACTACACCTGCCCTCACTGTGACCGCACCTTCACCTCACACATCGGCCTGGTCGGTCACTTGCGAATCCATCGCACAGAGACTGGCGAACCAGTGCCTGGAGCACCAACCTACACCCGCCGCACTCGCCTCCACTGCCCACACTGCCCTCGCACCTTCACGCATCGCATGGGTCTATTCGGCCACATGCGCATCCACGAGAGCGGAATGACCGTAGCCTTGACACATCCACCCCGCCGAGCCCCACTCCCAATCCACCACCTTGTGCACCCACTAACCACTCCCCAACCGACATCGAAGACACCGACCTTACCACCTCCCACTCCTCCCCTTCCTCCTCCTCTTCCTCCATCACTGCCACAACGACGGCCGCTTCGGCGTCTGTCGCCCACGACTTCACCACAGCCGAACCTGGCACAACCCCTGCAACCTGCATCATCAGACGAGAGGGCCAGGACTACATCTGCCCTCACTGCGATCGCACCTTCACCTCACGCATCGGCCTGGTCGGTCACTTGCGAATCCATCGCACAGAGACTGGCGAGCCAGTGCCTGGAGCACCAACCTACACCCACCGCACTCGCCTCCACTGCCCACACTGCCCTCGCACCTTCACGCATCGCATGGGTCTATTCGGCCACATGCGCATCCACGACGACCTGCGGTAGACAACCGCTGGTCACACCACACATTTCCTCACTCCCTACCTCCTAACACCATCCCCCCACCAGACATCAACCCCACACACCTCATGCACTCAACCGACGCCTCCCACGCAAGTGGGAAGTGTGCATCTCGACTCGGTTCCCATGCAGTTTCGGTTGCACGGGTGACTTGTGTCCGAGACTATCCCGACACGTCAAGTGTCGTGGATGGGAAGGTTGCTGATTGAGGCCTGCTCTCGGTTCACGCAGTCCGTCACGTTGTGTGTGTGTGTTGTGTGTAGTGGCGGACTGGTGGGCTGGGGACGGGCTGCAACAGCACCTTCCACGGCCCTCTCACGCAAGTGAGAGACACGCCGCTCAACCCCCGTTGTGTGAAATCCTGGCGTTTGTGTGTATGGGGGGCCAGCTCGTGCTGTGGCGCGCGCAGGCATGGTCAATCGACCATGTAAGCCACCGCGCCCATTCCCCACTCCAGTCTACTGACCGGCTCGGATAGCGGCTGGGGTGTGGAGTGGGACGGGAGAGTGAGGTCGACGACTCCGCGCACTTCTCCTCACTATAATCAATCTGACGCGCTTAAAGCTATCACGGTGCGCTAAAAGCCGTGGCTTGGAAGGTTGCCAACTGACGGGGTACCTTGGACCTCCTCCTCCTTGACTGGAGGCGGTCTGAGAGTCAGGCTGCAATGGCTCCTTTTTAATGTGGCCTTTATGGCATTCCCACCACAGTGTGGGATCCGAGCCAGGCGTTGGCGGCACGCCTAGGTGCGGCTTCGGCCGTGCCAGCCTCCAAATCTCTGTTGTGTTGGTTGAAATCCTGGTTATTGTTGTGTGGACCAGGGCGTGTGGTGGAACGCCAAGGTGAGGATCCGTCCGAGCCATCCACCTGCGGCCTCCCTCGTCTCCGGCCTTCTTGAATCTGTCTTGACACCGTGCCCAGGCGTGGGAGGAGGAGAGAGTGTAGGTAGATGCAGCGCAAGTCTACCCGCACTATAAACCCCTGCGCAAGTCACCGTCCCTGCTCCCACCTGCTGTGGGGCACACGGTGGACATCGTCGAAATCGACGGTCGAACTGTCGTGTTGTGCCCTCAAAACGGGCCACGTGTTAGATGCGCTGGACCAACAGGGGGGCCACATCCGACTCTGGCAGGCGTTATCTGTGCGTAATAACAAATGCCAACATTTGCGGGGTGCGCTGGCGGACCCTGTTGTCGGCATTCGTCGCACAACTGGACCACTGTCACCACCCCATTGTATTGTGGTCAAATCCTGGTCATTTGTGTGTGGACCAGGGGGTGCGGAGTGGAGCGCCAAGGCAAGGATCCGTCCGAGCCATCCACCTCCGGCCTCCCCCGTCTCCGGTCTTCTTGACTCTGTCTTGACACAGGGCTCAGGCGGGGGAGGAGGAGAGAGTGTAGGTAGATGCAGCGCAAGTCTACCGGCACTAAAAACCCCTGCGCAAGTCACCGTCCCTGCTCCCACATTGCAGTCTGTGGGGCACACGGTGGTCATCGTCGAAATCGACGGACGAACTGTCGTGTGTGTGTGTGTGTGTGTGTGTGTGTGCGTGTGTGTGTGTGGGGTGTAGGGGTGTCAGCGGTGGGTTCACGTGATGGTCGTAGTGGTCGCTCACTTGCTTGCAGGTGAGACTACGCCTAGCGTCCATTTGCTGGCACCTAACTCTCACCTGTGGCTCCACGTAGCTGGGCTGTGCTCAGCGGCCGCACCCCGGGCAACCGCCTCGACCGGCGGGCTAAAGCAGGTGAGGGTATCCGAGCGTGCCCCTACACGCGCGGTACTGTGGTCTGCGCTGGCCGGATGGATCTTCGCGTCGGCATCGTCGAGACGAGGCTCTGCATGGGCCGTCGCAGGAGGCCGCCAGGTAAGTTCTTCTTCAGGTAAGTTTTTTTGCTCTGCTTGCTCCTTTTGCCTGTTGTAGTTCCGTGCCGCATGTTGCTCTTGCTGCCTGCCCTCTGTATGCTAATCTGTCTGCTAAAAGCTAGACGAAAACCTCGCTGCCTGCTGCGACTGTCTGTCTGTCAGTTTATGCCTCTCTCTGCTAATAGCTATGTGCTACGGTGCTCGACACTTGAATGGTGCCCTCTCACTTCTGACTCTGACTGACGACTGTGTCTACCTGTACACACTAGCTAGCTGCCTCTGACTGACGACTTTGTCTGCTTGTCCGCTCTAGTTCTAAGTCCCATAGCGTTAGGTAGTGTGTAAGCTCTCTCCTACTTCACTCCATAACATCACCATCACCACCAAAAAGGTCCCAGGCTAATTCGGGTCGTTCTCTCACGAACAAAAATTCGAGGCCCATAGTGGAGTCCGGCAGCCGTCTGGGATAACCGGGCAGCCCTGTTCAGGGATGCGTTGCCTGCCCCCGCGAGGGGGAGGGGGCTAGAAAAGGTGCCCTAAAGATCGCTGGGAACCACGCTGTCTGTAGGCAGGCCGTGGCCGCAGACAAAAAACACACGGTCGAAACAGCCAAAACCGAAACAACAACAACAACAACAACAACAACAATCACTCTCTTCCTCTTCCAGCCTATCCTTCTTATTCTCTTTCTCCTACATTTCGCCGCCGAAGTCGCCAGATTGGAAGGGTGAGTCCGCTCACTCTGGCAGCCTGGAATGTTCGTTCCCTTTTAGACAATCCGAGGAGCAACCGACCGGAACGGAGGACGGCGCTAGTGGCACGAGAACTGGCGCGCTACAAGGTGGACATCGCCGCACTCAGCGAGACCCGATTCTCCGAACAAGGCCAACTGGAGGAGGTGGGTGCCGGCTACACCTTCTTCTGGAGTGGACGACCCAGGGCTGAGCGACGAGACGCGGGCGTCGCCTTCGCCATCCGCACCGACATCGTGGGACGACTGCCCTGCTTGCCGCAGGGAATCAACGACCGCCTAATGAGCCTCCGTCTGCCCCTCCGGCGAGGAGGCAAGTTCACCACCATCATCAGCGCCTACGCTCCGCCGATGAGCAGCCCCGACGCCGTCAGAGACAAATGCTACGAGGACCTGCACGCACTCCTGGCGACTGTGCCGAAGGCGGACAAGTTGATTGTCCTCGGTGACTTCAACGCCCGCGTCGGAACAGACCATACTGCCTGGATAGGAGTGCTGGGTCCCCACGGTCTCCGCGACTCCAACGACAACGGCCTGCTGCTGCTCCGCACCTGCGCAGAACACCGCCTCATCCTATCGAACACGTTCTTCTGTCTGCCGGAGCGAGAGAAGGCCACCTGGAGGCATCCTCGGTCGCGTCAGTGGCACCTGCTGGACTATGTCCTCGTCCGGAGGCGAGATCAACGGGACGTGCTGGTGACGAAGGCGATCGCGGGTGCTGACGGGTGGACCGACCATCGCCTCGTCATCTCGAAGATGCATATTCGTCTACAGCCTCGCAGGAGACCACAAGGTAAGCGACCCCCAGGTAAGCTAAGTGTTGCCTTGTTGTCTTTGCAGCTCATCATCTTCATTTCAGCCATGAGCTAGCTCAACAGCTAGACAACCTTCCTTTCGCTGCCGCCGCTCCCGCCGCTGCCGAGAACGCCTCCGTGGAGAACCGCGGGTGTCAACTGCGAGACACGGTCCAGTCGACGGCGCTCGCCGTCGTCGGTCGCGCTCCCCGCCAGCACCAGGACTGGTTCCACGACAACGACGCCGCCATCAGGGATCTGCTTGCTGAGAAGAACCGCCTCCACAAAGCCTACGTAGATCACCCCACTGAGGACAACAAAGCTGCCTTCTACCGCAGTCGCCGACAGCTTCAGCAACGACTGCGCGAGATGCAGGACGCCTGGACTGCTCGCAAAGCTGAGGAGATCCAAGGGTACGCGGACCGCAACGAATGGAAGAACTTCTTCTCCGCGATCAAAGCTGTCTACTGTCCGCCGACGAAAGGCACTGCTCCTCTCCTCAGCGCCGACGGCAGCACTCTCCTGACAGAGAAGACGCAAATCCTACAGCGATGGTCCGAACATATAAGGAGCGTCCTCAACCGCCTATCCGTCATCTCCGACGCCGCCATCGCCCGCCTGCCGCAAGTGGTGACCAACGTGGACCTCGACCTTCCGCCATCTCTCTAGGAGACCATCAGGGCAGTGCAGCATCTCTCCAACAAGAAAGCACCCGGATCGGACGCAATCCCTGCTGAGGTCTACAAGCACGGAGGTCCACAACTAATGGATCACCTGACTGCACTTTTCCAGGTGAAGTCCCGCAAGATTTCAAAGATGCAACAATCGTGCACCTTTACAAGTGAAAAGGGAATCGCCAAGTCTGCGACAATCACCGCGGCATCTCCCACTGAACATCGCCGGGAAGATTTTCGCCCGCATCCTCCTCAACCGCCTCAATAACGATCTGGGACAGGGCCTACTGCCGGAAAGCCAGTGCGGTTTCCGTCGCCACCGCGGGACCATGGATATGATCTTCGCCGCCCGTCAACTTCAGGAGAAATGTCAGGAGATGCGGACCCACCTGTACTCTACCTTCGTGGATCTGACGAAAGCCTTCGACACGGTGAACCGTGAAGGACTGTGGAAGATCATGCAGAAATTCGGCTGTCCGGAGCGATTCACTCAGATGGTGCGTCAGCTGCACGACGGTATGATGGCGCGAGTCACGGACAACGGAGCTGTCTCAGAGGCATTCGCAGTGACCAACGGAGTGAAGCAGGGATGCGTGCTGGCACCGACCCTCTTCAGTCTCATGTTCTCTGCCATGCTGATGGACGCCTACCTCGACGAACGCCCCGGGATCCGCATCGCCTACAGGACGTACGGTCAGCTCCTGAATCAACGGCGGATGAATTTCCCATCGCGTGTACTGGCAACCAACTTTCACGAACTCCTCTTCGCCGACGACTGCGCCTTGAACACCACCTCGGAAGCGGAGATGCAGCGGAGCATGGACCTGTTCTCCGCCGCCTGCGAGAACTTTGGGCTGGTCATTAACACGCAGAAGACGGTGGTGATGCACCAATCGCCCCACAACCCAGCCACAGCCCCCAACGCGCCGCCGCAAATCAACGTAAATGGGACTCAACTGCAAGTGGTAGAGAACTTCCCGTACCTGGGCAGCACGCTCTCCCGCAACACCAAGATCGACGACGAGGTCGCCAACAGGATCTCGAAAGCGAGTCAAGCCTTCGGCCGTCTGCAGAGCACAGTCTGGAATCGACAAGACCTTCAACTGAGCACAAAGCTGAAGATGTAAAAGGCAGTCATCCTACCGACAATGCTGTACGGAGCGGAGACCTGGACTGTGTACACTAAGCAAGCACGACGACTTAACCACTTCCACCTGAGCTGTCTTCGTCGGATCCTGAGGCTGAACTGGCAGGATCGAATCCCCGACAGAGATGTGCTGGAACGGACGCGAATCCTCAGCATCTACAGCATGCTGAGACAATTGCAGCAGCGCTGGAGCGGACATCAGGTGCGTATGGATGACGAGCGACTACCGAAACGACTCTTCCACGGAGAGGTCGCCACCGGTTCTCGCCGTCAAGGAGGCCAAATTCGTCGTTACAAGGATACCCTAAAGTCCTCCCTGAAGCGCCTGCAAATCAACTCGACCAACTGGGAAGAGCTCGCCCGCGATTGTCCGACATGGAGGAGAACAGTGAAGACGGGCGCTGCTATCTACGAAGCCAACTGAATCGCTGCCGCCAAAGCGAAACGCGAAGCCCGCAAATCAGAACATCGCCCAGTCCGCAACGGCGCCGCCGCCGCCGCACTACCGCTTCCAACATGTCCTCGATGTCACCGGACATTCCGTGCTCGAATCGGACTTGTTGGACATCTTCGGATCAACTGCACCTCTCGAACTGCTCCAGCCATCGTCCCCCCGTCCACCTCTTCCTCGCCCTCTCTACCGCCAACTAACTCTGACACATCCTCTGTACCACCACCACCACCACCACCACCACCACCACCACC